CTATATTAGCATTTAATTGTTTTGTCTTTCTCCAATTATCATCCATCTTTGTTACTTTCCTAGTCATTCCTTGCATCTTATTATACCATTATTTATGTTTTTTTACCCAATTTTTGTCACTTCCCCCTTCTCTATATTAGAAATGTTTTATGTCAAAACATAAAACGCATAGCTTCTTAATATTATTATTTAAGTATGTTACTTTTTCACTTACTCCATATTTCATTATTTTTCTTGGGCTTTAACTCTTAGCTTACCCCTCAAGTTTTATTATTATCATTATTATAAAAATCTATTATACAATTTTATATATTTGAAAATTTTTATGCCAAGACATAAAAGGCATAAGCAACTCCTTAACATTATTATCTCAGTACATATTCACTTGCTTACATCACCTTTTATTACAATTCTTGGGCTTCATTTCTTAGCATAATCTTCATATTTTATCATTATATACAATTTTATCTTATATTTACTTTAATTCTCTCTCCATATTAATAATTTATTTGCTTCAACCTACCTTATGTTTCGCTATATTTTTTTTATCAATCGAATCCTTTCTTCTATATTATTCTTTTTTCTTCTTCTTCTTCTTCTTCTTTTTTTTCCTTTTTATCTTAAGTAACATAATAAAAGACAATTCTCTCACATCCCTTAACCCACCCCTCCCTCTTACTATGCGACTCAAATTTAAGACCTTTTACTTCTAGTGAAAAAAAGATTATCACTAAGTTATTTAAGTTGTTAGCAATTATGTTATTCTTTCTTATTCACTTTTTGTATCTCCAATTACCATTATATATCCTTTCATTGTCTATATTCGAAATGTTTTAGGTTAAGACAACTAGAACAACTTCTTTTCACTTACCTTTACGCCTCAAGGGTCAAACTACCCCTTGTACTTCTTCAAAAGTTGTCTTCAACTATTACCATCATAATCCTACTTTATTTGATTCTCTTTTTCTATGTGTTTTTTCTTTTTCTAATAAGAGAAATCCAACATTAATAGTTCAATAAAAATCTTAACAAAACGTCAATACAAAATTTACTAGCTTTTCTTATAGTACTTGATAAGTTGAATTATTGTTCATAATATGATGCTAATTAAACCTTGATTTTATTAATATTTGAATGGATTTAATATGATTTTACTCAGTTTTACATCATTTTTATTATTTGTGTAGAATAGGACTTAACTTTTAAAAATCATAAATTTGGAACTAAATAATTATGTTTCACAAAGTAAAAGAATGAACAAACTGATGAAATTAAGGACCAAATTGTAGAATTCTAAAATTGACCAAATCATAAAATTCTGGAATTTAAGGACTGAAGTGTTAAATTTTTAAAAATCAGGGACTAACACTATAATATTACCATTAAAAAAAGAAACAAAAGTTAACAATGGAATTATGTGTCTGGCGGCGGCAGCTCTTCTCGCTTACTTTTTTCCTTTTCTCTGTTTATCTATATAATTGTAGCCCTATTATTATATAATTAGAAATATATTAAAGAAATATTATATCAACTCCTATAACAAGAAAGTGAGAATAAAATTAATGAGAAATTAAATTTTATTAATGTTGGATTTGTGTTACTTTCAATATGTATAGATTTTTTAAAGGTTAAACTCCTATTTTGGTACCTGAACTATTATACGAACCTCAATTTGGTCCCTGAACTAAAAAAATCTCTAATTTAATCCTTGAACTATTGTACGGACCCCAAGTTAGTCCCTAAATTATTATATGGATTCCCAATTTGATCCCTACTGTTTATCAATTTAACCCTAACTTGATCCTTCTGTTAAATAATAGCTCAATGACCAAATTGGGGCGAAATTGTAAACAATAAGAGAACCAAATTAAAGATCCATACAATAGTTCAAGGATCAACTTAGGCCAAATTATAAATAGTGGGGACTAAATCGAAGGTCCATGCAATAGTTTAGAGTCTGTACAATAGTTTAGAGACTAAAATGAGGATTTAACCTTTTTTTAAAAACTTTGTATTTATTGAAGATTTTTTTAAGTTTATTGTGTATTTATTAAGGATTTTTTTAAGTTTAATTGGCATTTATTTAAGAACTTTTAAGAGAAATTTTGTTATTATAACAATCTTATATGTAATTAAGATTAAAGGTCTATTTGATACCGCGGTTAAAAGTCAATGTATAGCGGTAGTGGATAATATATGATAAATAGTAAATTCGATAAATATAACTATTTGGTTATACAATAGTTAACGATTGTTATTTAACATTAAATGATTAATAAAAGATATTTTTAAAAACAACTAAATGTATTTTTTAAAATATTTTATTTTTATTATTA